CCTGTTCTGTTCCCCACTCTGTCTCTGGGTGAAGCCTCTCACCACCTCTGCGCCTCTGGCCTGCACCCCAGTTCTGTATGCACAAATAAATAAATCTTAAAAAAAAAAAAAAGTACGTGTACATTTAATTCACTACCCACTCGCCCCAAAGTGGCCATCAAACCCATAGCAGGAGATTTTAAGACAGAAATGGTGGCCGACATTCATTATCCCTACTGCACATATGGAGAGTCCAGGGGGGTTCACAACCTTTCTTCATGACATTTCAGAGGAAGAAGCCAGTCTTTCCAAGTTTTATGGATGAGGAGAGGGCAGCCAAGGATTAGACCTAGACCATTTGGCTGCTATCCAGAACCAGGAGGGAAAGGCACCAGAGTTTGAGGCAGGGTGGGGATGGGGGTAGGGTCCTGTCATGAGCTCCAATAGAGCCATCTCATGGATGAGAAAACTGAGGCTCAGAGGGCCCAGAGCTGAGCCCTAGAAACAGCCAGGGTGCTTTTTCCTCACTAGGATGTCTTTTCCAGAAATAGGGTCTGCTGTCTGCAAGGCCCAAGGTGCCCTATCAAGGCAAGGCTGGGTACTGCTCTTTCTGCTCTCTGGAGGGAGGCTTCTTCTTCAGTCCAGCCTCCCCCAGCTCTTCACTATTCCTCCTCTCAGCCAGCGGTGAACAATGAAGCACGCTGCCTCCCCTTCCTCCTCCCATGCTCAATTTGCAGCCCCCAGCAATCTGGCCTCCGCCTGCAGCAGTAGCATCTAGAACTCAGCAGCTGCCCTGCCTCCTCCTACTCTGACCACAAACCCTCCTTTAAATGCCTCACACCGAGAACTCAGATTCCCAGGATGGTGGGGGGGGGAGGACACAAGCAGGCGACACAGCAATGTCAAGTGCAAAGGTCCTGAGGTTATATTGACAATTAACACAAAGGGCTGGTGGGGCCAAGGAGTGGCTGCTGGGATGGAGCTTGTTGAGATTTGCTTGGAGGCTATGCAGGGCCTTAGAGTCAGAATCTTATTTTACTAGTCATTATTCCTCACAAACCTTCCCATTCAGAATTCTCTTCCTCTCTGCTCCAAGAAAACATCTATCTATTGCAGTGCCCACTGTTCTACCTGACACTAGTCTTCTCAGTTATAAACAGGCTAATCACAGTAGCCACCTCATAAGGTGTATATTGAGCCATAAAGGAGCAAATTGGTGCTCAACTTTTGGAGTTCCTTAATACCAGCTGTTATCATCTGGATCACTGTGAACCCCTCATGCCACTGTAAACTAGCCAAGAGTGGGAGAGACAACTGCCCCTCATAATCTTCTAGAAACTCACACCATTGCATGAGATAAAAGGCAGTGTCTTCACAGTGCTATCCTTTAACACTACAGATGACCAAGTAGAGGGGATACAGAGCCCAGCACTACTGCCATTGTTGTGAGATCGTTCTCTTGTGGTAGAGGCTGCCCTGTACATTACACTCACGTCACTTAATGGCATGGATCCCTTCTGAGAAACGCATCATTAGGTGGACTTCATTATTGTGAGATGTCAAGAGCGTACTTACACTTTACATCATTAGGTGGACTTCATTATTGTGAGATGTCAAGAGCGTACTTACACTTTACATCATTAGGTGGACTTCATTATTGTGAGATGTCAAGAGCGTACTTACACTTTACAGCCTACTACACACCGAGGTTCAGCCTAGTCCACGTGTGGCCCATCATTGACCAAAACATTATTAACCAACTCATGATTGTGTATGATGTTGAGTAGCATCCTCAGTTTTAGACCGACAAGGGGCCGGACAAAGACCACAGACTCTTGATAGTCACCTGCCTGGTCCCACCTGAGGGCCTCTGATTCTCTAAGGGCTTTTGGGGGGGGGGGGGTCTCAGGAACAGAGGTGGGCCCACAGGGTCCTGCTAGACAGGACAGACACTGAAGGCCTGTGGAAAAAGGCAGGATATGGGAAGACAACACAGGTCAGCTGAGGAAAGGAATCTGGATGAGGGACAGAATGCCTCAATGTCTATGTGAGAGGACTGGAGTGCCTTAGTCAACAGGGAAGATTCAATCTCTAATTAATTATGGGCTCAAGTAGCTTAAAAAGTACAGACTGGTAACCAGGAAAGGTATCAAGGGTGATGACAGGCAAGGAGGAAGCAGAGTTTCCTTAAACACTGCCTCCATGGGACTCATCACCACCTAAGAAACAGCAAACACCACTTGAGCCTGACAGGCTTTCTCCATTACAGGCTTGGCAGTGGCAGTGACACTGCTGAACTCTGGGTCAGCTCTTGCTGGACCAACCCCCAATCCTCTCCAGACCCCATGCTCTCCTCTTGCACCTCCCTGCTCAAGGACTTGTTAGGCTCCCCACTGCTTAACCAGAGTTTTAAGTAGTCTTAGATGTAGACCAAGGAATATGGACTTTCCTCTGGGGTCTGGTGGGGAGATCTGAGAGCCTAAACCTGGCACTAATATCTATTGACACACTAGGAGCATCTCTCCTTTCTTCCCTCACAAAAGCAAAATGTTTAGGATACTCAGCAGGAGTCTGGCACATGTTCAATAAAGGCTTTCAATGTACTGTACTGTCCCGTTTACCTAGAGCATTCACTCCTCCATGCCACAGCTCTCACCATCAAGCTGATTTCTTATTATTCAAACAGAATTGGGCTCTGCACAATCTTCTCATAACCAATCTAAAGCTCTTCACCCCCTCCCAGAACCCACTACTGTCTTGCCTTGCTTAATTATGATCATGAACCTAGGGATAACAGTCACCTTCACAAGAACAAAAATGGCTGACAACCATCCTGGGATGTTAGCAGGCTGTTCCCACAATAGAGGTAGGCAGTGGGCACCCCAGTGAAACTAAACTATTCCCAGGGGCCATTTATTTGTTACAGGTGCTGCAGACTATTTTGACCTTCAGTACCCCTGGCTCCACACACCCAAAATTCCCACAGGAAAGCAATTAAGAAGGTACCCACCCTTGCCTTTATAGTACCCAGTCCCCCTGAGACCTAGGAGGCCTCAGTCTGTCCCATGACAGACCAGCTCAGTCTATCCAGGCAGGGGAGAAGTCTTTTTATTTGGGGTTGCCTGTCCAGTTTCTACCCCTCCCAACCAGAGTAGAGAGAAGGGCACATCCAGGTAGGGGGCAATCTCAGAACTACAGGGAAGTTGGGGGAAAGGAGGGTGACAAGCCATCATTATTTGGCTGATATTACTTGATACAGCCTGACTCTGGGTTTGATGATCCAGAGTCAACTTTCCCAGAACATAATGCGGTCTTGCAATGAGCCAAGAGAGAAGGAGCAAAAGCAGATTAAAGAAAAACTGTGCAAGTAAAGCAGATCCAGTTCCAGAGTCAGGCCCCATTCTTATAACCTCCTCCCCCTGGCAACTGACAGCTCCATGACTCCTGCTTTCTTGCTTTCCAAAAGGAAGTAGAGGATAAGGTGTAACCAGGGCTCTTGAGAAAGAAACTTCCACTGTTCCAGCCCCGTGGGATACCCATAAAACTCTGTCCAAACTCCCTGAATGGGCAAGAGGAGAGGCTTAGGCAGAGAATTCCCGGCAGGAGCCAGCAGTGGGGAGTCCCTTCAGACATGACTTCCAAAGGCCTACTTGGGGTTTGAACCTAGTATGCCACTGTGTTGTCCTGTAGACCCTGGGTTAAGTCAAGCCACCCTGGGGTGTCTATACTATGTAGAACACCTAAGGTAACCAGGTCATAGTGAGCAGTCATCTTGTCTGATCATCAAACTGAGGATGGGGTCAGGTGCCTAGCACCAGATCTGAACCCCTTTATCCAATAGGTCCCTCCAAGATGCAATGAAGAGTTTTAGTTTTAGATCTTTCTCCAGGAAACTGGGGATTCCGAGGCCACAACATAATATGGGGGGCTCAGTTCTCCTCGCCTAGGCTCACCCTCAAGGCTCTGTTCATAACAAGTTTGAAAAGAATCTAGGGCAAGACACTCCGTGGCAATTGGGTTAGGGGTGGGGAGTGGGCAAAGGATACTACCCACTCTGGTAAACAAGATGCCTGAGATTAGTGTTCCAGACTATTTTCCAAGCTGCCTACACAAACACACTCCTGGCTGGGCAGTGGTTGGAACAGCCAGCAAAGACTTACCCAAAGGCTAGGGGTAGGATAGAGATGAGGAGTAAAGCCCCCAGTTTTCAGTACAAGCTAACACCTGGCCAGGGTGAGGTTGGGACAGGTGTCTCTTGGCAATTACTCTAATTCTTGGGACCAGTCCGCACATCCCGCTAGCCTGCTTCCCCAACCCCCCACCCTCCAGTCCCTGAGCTTACTACAATAGTTCTTTAACCACCCATGTCTCGCCTTTCCTCCACACATATCCCTGAGCCCAAACCTCGCGTGACCCCAGCAAACATCTCTGGGATCTCCCTACCGCCCCCACCCGAGCTAACTCCACCTCCACCCACCCAGCTCCACTTCCTGGGCTTCTTCTCAGTCGCCCCCAGGCTTGTAACCTGACCCACCCACCTCCTCCAGCGCCAGGACGATACCTGCAAGCACAGCCCTTCCCCGCCCCCCCTTCTAGGCCGTTTCCCTCCGGCTGCGCCGCTCTCCCCTCCTCCCCCACTCGGCCGGCCCAAAGCCCAGCTCCTCCTCCCCTTCCCCCTCCGACCTCCCCGGGCGCCTCCTCACTTTTCTTTAGACCCTGCAACTTCCCGGGCTCCCCCAGCACATCTCCCGCCCGGCCTCGCCCCCGCTTGCCGGGAATGATGGGGGAAAGTCTGGGCCTGATTCCGTCGCCCCCAAGCACCGCACGTCGGCCCGAGGCTAGACGCTCAGGGCCGCTCATGGGGGCCAGGCCTGCCGGCAGTTGCCAGCCCCGGCACAGTGCAGGCTGAGGACTCGGTTCTTCCTCAGCCGAAGAGTGCCTCCTTCGAATGCCCCCCACTGCACCCAGACCGTCCCGGCGAAAGGAGGCCGGAACCGGGCTTGGGGGAGGGGGCATCTCACCTGCGCCGTGGCCACGTTCCGGGGGCTCCCGGCGGGCTCCGCAGCGGCGGCTGGGGCCGGGCCTGGGCCCGGGGCGCACCCCCCCTGCGCCGGGGCCTCGGCCTCCGCCTCCGCGGCCTCCGCCTCAGTAGCAGCGGCAGCCGCGGCGGCCATTCATTGTGGGCCAGGCCGCCCCAGCCGAGCGCCGAGCGAGCGCAAGTCGCGCTGCCGCCGGGTCCTAGGAGGAGCGGCTCCGCCCCCGCACCGCCCATGTCCCGCCCCCGAGGCGAGGCCAGCCGAATGCCGAGAGCACTCGGTTTTCACCCTCACAAAACTTCCCTCCGCCCCTCCCGCTCCCAGCCAGTGCCTCGGCTCGGTTGATTAGCTGGATTCCCCGCCCCTTCCAATCCCGCGACCTAGGGGCAAGCCGCAGTCTTTAGGAACTTTAGTTTCCTCTAAAACAAAAACAGTAATGGCCACTGTTATTGTGCCGGGAACTGTTTGGGGTTCTTTATGGAAAATTATCTTGTTCAAATGAAACAATAACATTTTTAGGAATTATTTCTCTGTCTTTCTCACATACAAGAACTGTATAGATATTCTGAAAGGGAAGCAACCTGTTTACGATTGAAAAGCTAGTAGTGGCAGGTGCAGGGACTCAGGCCCAGGCTCAAGAAGCGACAATAAAAGTTAACACTTATGATGCTTATGCGATGCAAGACCTGCACTAACTCGTTTAATTCTCGCCACAACACAATAACGTAAATTGAAAAGGACGGCCCAGTTTGCCAAAGGGGAAGCTTTAAGCACAGAAACAGTTAAGAACAGGGAGCAAGACGAGTTGGGACAAGAAGCCAGGCGATCACTATGCTCTCCTTTTCTACACAGGTTAGAAGCTACTGAGAGTGGCTGCTTTGCATACTTTCCTGGCATTCTGTTGTTTAATCTTTGCTTTACGTTGGCGGCTAGGATACTTATTAAACAGGTAAGGAGAGTGAGGCCCAGAGAGCTTAAGTAACTTGCCAAGAGCAGATATAGGAGCGAGATGCAAACTCAGGAAATTTCAGATCTCAGAGCCTGAGTTATTCTTGCAGCATCCCTTGAAATAATGTGTTTACAGTACCCAGTACACAGGAGACGATCCTGAGGTCATGGACTTCTCCGTTTCCCGTCCCTTTTCTGAGCCTCACCTTCCGCATCCGTGAAATGGGGCTAATCCCCTCCCTCCCTGGGAAGCCCCAGCGATTCAAGCCATCCCTACTTTCAGCGGTTTCCGCGGTGCATTTTGATCCCGGCCACCCACGGTAGGTAGCACCGCTGACTGGTTGAAAGTTATCACGTGAGCTTCCCTCCCGCTGTGCCAACATGGCGGCGCCCAGCTCTAAACACGGGAAACGTGCACCGAAACTAGTTAGGTTCTAAGTCCCGGGAAAAAGAGGTGAGGTGGGCCCGGGGGACGTGAGGAGGAATCCGGCAAAGGGGCGAACCCGTTCGAGGGCTTCCGGTGTTGCAGGGTCCTGTTCTCTGAAAACCGGGAACTATCAGCCACCAGGGTCTACGTATCCCGTATTTTACAGACGTGTAGGGCACCTGGATGGGAAACGTGGCCCTCTGATTCTCTTTGTGCTCTCTCCCAGCTCCCCGAACCAGGCGTGGCGGGCGGAGGCCCCCTCGGATGGCCAGTGGGAGGATCGTTCTGTGGCTAAGCCTGACTCTCCGTCCCGCCTGTAGTGTCTGTAGAGCCCAATTTATGGAGGGGCCTCCCCAAGGATCGCTGAATACAGGGGCGATGGAGAACGGCACCCGCCCTAACGAGGAAGAGCGCTCACCTGAAACCCAGGAGACCACGGTCACGGAGGGGTCCGCCAAGATCGCTTTCCCCAGCGCCAACGAAGTCTTCTATAATCCGGTGCAGGAGTTTAATCGAGACCTGACGTGAGCAGGGATATGGGTCAACTTGGCAAAAGGCTAAGTAGGTCTGTGAGAAGGGGATATGAGTTGTCCCTCCGTCTTCCGCAGATGTGCTGTGATCACTGAGTTTGCTCGTATACAACTGGCAGCTAAAGGAATCCAGAGTGAGTGGTGGTCTGGGCCCCTGGTGGGCGGGGGGTCACACAGAATCCTTCATGCCCCGCCCCTTCTCCCCTTAAATGAAAAGTTGCAATCTTATAACAAGCCCTGGGCTCCTTTAGCCTTTCTCTAGGAACTCTGGGAAAGACTTTCTTCCATGAATTGTATGAATCTTATATGCTCTGAAGGGTGGGGGAAGGTTTCTCAGAGGGATCTTTGATATCCCCTGACTTGGGCTATAGTTAAGGTACCAGGGGAGAAGGACTCGCAAAAGGTGGTGGTGGACTTGTCGGAGCAAGACGAAGACAAGGCTGAACTGAAAGAGGGTGCAAGCCTGGCTTCAGGAGACCAACCTCGAACAGCCACCGCAGGGGAGATTTGCCAGGTGGGGCCTGAGCATTGGAGGTAGCAGCCCTGGAGTTCCATGGGCAGGAATGGGAGAGCCATAGGAGGTGGGTGGTTGGGTTTCCTCTGGGCCCAGCAGAGTGAGGAGATACAGATGTAAGTAGGGCTCCCTTCTTACTCCAACAGGAAGGACTTCGGGTGCTGGAGGGGCTAGCAGCCTCGGGTCTACGTTCAATTCGCTTTGCCAGAGAGGTGCCTGGGCTCCGTTCTGTGGTTGCCAATGATGCCTCTGCACGAGCCGTGGAGCTAATTCGCCATAATGTACAGCTCAATGATGTAGCCCACCTGGTACAGCCCAGTCAGGCAGATGCCCGGTAGGTTCAGGGCAACAGCAGGGCCTGGAGGTAGAACTAGGCTGTCTGGGGTCAAATCCTGACTTAGCCTCCCTGGACTTCCTTTTCCTTGTCTGCAAAACGAAGAGAGTAGTTTTCAGAGTTGTCATATTGGTTAATAAGTGATAACATTTACATGTCCTTGTTCTGTGCCAGAAATAAGTACTATTATGGTCTCCATTTTATTACTTATTACAGTAAAATTTTATTTAAGTAATATTGCATTATAATGTTATATGTTTCAGGTGTTCATTCTTATAAGCCATTATCTATATATACTACAATAAACACACCACTAAATGTTCTACCCTTTGTCATACAATTGACACTTCATCCCATTTACCCACCCAACCCCCATGGTCTCCATTTTAGGTTCAGTTGCATTTCTTTTATTCATACAAATGAAACAGTACTAGTGTCTGGTGTGTTCCATGTACTGTTCTCAGCCCTGGGAATGCACCATTAAATAATACAGGCAAAATCCCTGACTTTGTGGAATTTATTTTCTAATACAGATGTCAGCAAACTACAGTCTACCAGGCCCAAACCCTCATTTTAAATGGCCTGCTAGTTAAAGAGTGTATTTTGCACTTTTAAAGCATTCGAAAAAAGAAACTCCTGGTGGTACAAGGGGTTAAGTGTCAACACTATGAAGCTTCAGCAGCACGAGTTAGATCCCTGGCCAGGGGGGTGATCCACATAGAGTGAATCCTCTCCTGTCCCACCCGCTGCTCCCCTCAGCAGTGTGTTTCAGTGGCAGTGGCTCTGCCTATTCTGCTCCCCACTCTTTCTCTGGTGAATCCCGCCCCCCCCCACCTCTGGCCTACAGGTGTTGCATGCATAAATAAAGAAATCTTTAAAAAGAAAAGGAAATGGGGACTAGAGGCTAGAATCTTTACTATCTGACCCTTTACAAGAGATAAATAAATAATAAAAAAAAAATACTTATCTTCCTGACCCAGCCAGAAACTACCAGGAAACACAGTCATTAACCAATAATCACAAAAACATATAGTAAACTTGTGAGAAGTGTCCTGAAAAAAAGGTGAGGAGAAGGAGACTAAAGGGCGATTACTTGGACCAATTAGTGCAACAGAGCAGAAATTTCTGATTTTAATTTAAATACACTTATTGCCATAACATTGTTTTATGATGTTATATAAGTTTCAGGGGTACAGCACTATAATTCAACATTTGTATACAATACAGCATGGTCACCATTTACAGACTAGTAGCTATTCATCGCCATTCAACTGACCCCCATTATCTTGTTCTCCCAGCCCCAGGGATGTTGCAGTTTTAAATAACAAGGACAGAATAGGCTTCATTGAGAAGTAGCATTTGCATTTCCTCACCCCCTGAGGGAACTACAATGCAGTCATGTGCATAATGATCTAATTCCTCAGATTGGAGAGTGTTCCCCATATATGGCCTAGCTGTGTAGTAGGCTATACCTTGCTGGATTGTATAAGTATAGCTGACCCTTAAGTAGATCTGTGAGGGTTCACTTATGACTGTTGTTGTTTTTTTTTTTGTTTCTTTTTTAAGAATTTATTTGTGCATACAAGAACTGAGGTCCGCCAGAGGTAACAGTGTGTGTGAGAGGATTCACCAGAGACAGAGTGGGGAACAGAACAGGCAGATCTACTGAAATGCACTGCTGAGGGGCAACAGGCGAGAGAGGAGAGGTCTCCTGTGCCTAGTGGGTCAGCTCCCTGGCTGGTGATTGAATTCGTGTTGTAGTGGCTTGATAGTACTGTGTCTCTAAACCCTGTGCTACCTGGGAGGCCCACAACTGGGTTTTTTAAAAAAATACAGTTAGCCTTCCATATGTACTCTTCTGTATTCACATTGTAGGTAGAGTCCAAAGGCTATGGGGGCTTTCTATAGGGAACTTGGGTACCTGTGGATTTTCGTATTTGATGGGGAGCTGTGCCAGTCCCCCTCAAGTACCAAGAGACAAATATAGCTAAGTTTCTGTTAAGTTATATACTGATTTCAACTTAGGAGGGCAGGTGTGGGGAGGTGGGTTTGAGGGAATTTGGCTTCCATACCACCTTCTTTATTGTTCAAGGGTCAACTGGATACCCTGACATTTACACAATGCCAAAATTGCCTAACAAGCATTTCTCAGAATGTATCCCGATCTTAACTAATGCATGATTGTAGTTCTAAATCCATGGTGTTGTTCCGGAGATGATGTGGTCAGGTGAGTTAGCATAGCTGTAGACCGCTTGAAATGATAGCATATATGTGCTATTATCAGTAATTATCACTACTAGGGTGGCTAGTCTGAGGCCCAAGAAGGAAAATTCATGCGCTTAGCAAATGGCCAAGCCAGACCTTGAACCCAGGCAGCAGGCCCCTGATTCCAAGCCAGAATCATCACCTAGAATCAGTGAGCATGTAAAGGGGACAGAGGGGGGCTGAGGACCTGGCCTTCTTGCTCCCAGGATGCTGATGTACCAGCACCAGAGGGTGTCAGAGAAGTTCGATGTCATTGACCTAGACCCGTATGGCAGCCCTGCTCCCTTCCTGGATGCTGCGGTGCAGGCTGTGAGTGAAGGAGGTGAGGCTGGGCTGGCTTGGGGGCATGGAATAGAGCTTCCTTGGGACTCTGAAGGGGCCTTACCGTGCCGTCTCTCCCTGTAGGACTGCTGTGTGTGACCTGCACAGACATGGCAGTGCTGGCGGGGAACAGTGGGGAGACATGCTACAGCAAGTATGGGGCTATGGCCCTCAAGAGCCGGGCTTGCCACGAGATGGTGAGACCCCTCTCCTGTACACCTTACTACCTCCCTTCCCCCACCCAACCCAGCATGCTGGCTTCTTGCAGGCAGCCAGGGCCAGACCTAGCATGTTAGCCTCAAGTGCTTTAAAGGGAGAGCATGATCTCTGAGAGCATGGGGCTATCAGTTGAGGTCAATTGGAGCAGTGGCTTTACCCAGGGTAGGAGGAGCAATTCCTTCATTCTTTCTAGTATTCTGTATTTTAGCAAACTTTAATTTTTTTTTCTTTTAAGGTAACTTTTCCAGATCTGGGTTTGACTTTGAGTTCAAATCATAAATTTGGGCACACAATTTTGCCTTTCTGGGCCTTGGTTTTTACATTGTGAAATAGCCATCAGGTTGCTGTGGAATTTCAAGAAGGCAAGAGCTGACTACATCCATGGATTGTCAGCAGTCCTCACAGGGACATAGCCCCAGCAGTTTTCTGTAGTACCCACTGTCCCCACTTCCTGCAGAGCCTGTAGGGATTGAAAAGCAGGTCCTTGGCCCACAGAACAAGCCACAGGGTCTGTGTGTTCTTAGCCATTTAGTGCTCTCACCAGCACCATAAAGAAACAAGGACTTTTGTGCTTTCACAGGTGAGAAAACAGACAGAGGTGGTACACAGTTGGAGAGGTCACAACATCGGGGTGCTGGAGGTTGGCTTGGAACCCAGGGAGCGCCCCTGGGCCTGCTCTGTATGCGCTCCTTGGTGGTTCCTAGGCAAGAAGGGGTGGGGAGGCAGGACTGACATCCATCCGTACCAGCAGGCCCTGAGGATTGTCCTGCATAGCCTGGACCTCCGAGCCAACTGCTACCAGCGCTTTGTGGTGCCTCTGCTCAGTATCAGCGCAGACTTCTATGTGCGTGTTTTTGTTCTCGTCTTCACAGGCCAGGCCAAAGTCAAGGCCTCAGCCAGGTTAGCTGAGGAAAGGGAGGGGTAATTGGTTGAGGGAGGCAACAGGGCTTTTCCTTAGGGGAGTGCTCTCCTAAGGGAGTGGAGGCACAGCCATAAGGGTCTTTAAGGTGATAGGGACAACCTAAGGGAGGAGTTGGGATGTGGTAGCTATACTTGGACCAACCTGTCCCCCCAACAGCAAGCAGGCACTGGTGTTCCAGTGTGTGGGCTGTGGTGCCTTCCAACTTCAGCGCCTTGGCAAAGCGTCAGGGCCCTCTGGTGGCCGGTGAGCATGGGTGACCTGGTGGGGAAGGTGAGGGGCCATCCCAGGTTGCCACTTCCTAACTAACTGTCTTCATTGCTCAGGGTCAAATTTTCTGCAGCCTGTGGCCCCCCTGTTGGCCCTGAATGTGAGCACTGTGGACAGCGACACCAGGTATGACTAGACCTGGGCATGCCAAGAGGCACTTGAGCGTCCTGACCCTCGCCATCCCTTCCTCTTGACCCTGTGTATCCACAGATTGGTGGTCCACTGTGGGCAGAGCCTATTCATGACCTGGACTTTGTGTCCCGAGTCCTCCAAGCCGTGAGCACCAACCCATCCCGCTTCCATACTTCGGAAAGGATCCGTGGAGTCCTGAGCGTCATCACCGAGGTGGGGGCTGGGCTGTGGTGGGAAGGGGGCTGCCCTTCCTCTGTCCACCCCACACCCATCTCATTCCCCTGTAGGAGCTCCCAGACGTGCCTCTCTACTACACGCTGGACCAGCTGAGTAGCACGATCCACTGCAGCACTCCTAGCCTCCTGCAGCTGCGGTGAGGGCCAGTCTGCTCCCCTCTGGCCAGAGTCCCTTATAAGATAGAGAGCAGATTAAAAAGCCTACTTAGGTTTTTCTAGTGGGAGTGCTTAGACCAGAGCTTAGAGGCTTTCGCCCCAGCCAGGGGCACAGTCTTACTGTGATGACACCTGGCATCACAGCTGCCATGGGGGCTCCATGAGATGTGTAGCCATACCAGCTGTGACATGGCTCACACCCACACGGGGCATCATGAACGCCCTTGCACGTCCCCCTTGTCCTCAGGTCAGCTCTCCTCCATGCTGGCTTCCGAGTCTCTCTCTCCCACGCCTGTAAGAACGCCGTGAAGACTGATGCCCCCACCACAGCCCTCTGGGACATCATGCGCTGCTGGGTGAGGCTTAATCACATAGGGGTGGGAGATGGTTGGGTTTAGCACCCTTTGACCTCTGGCTTTTGCCTACCAGGAGAAGGAGTGTCCAGTGAAACGAGAACGACTGTCAGAGACCAGCCCAGCATTCCGCATTCTCAGTGTGGAGCCCAGGTACAAACACGGCTCAGTGTGACTGAACAGGCTAGGGAAGCTCATGTATGTATGACACAGGCCCACACACTTCCCCACGCAGACGTGTTGATGCTTCAGGTGAAAGCCAGAATTCACTCAGTTCTTGCCCCACCCTAGTCTGACCCCACTGTGGTCCTCTACAAGGTTCCCTGTTTTCCTACCCTCGCCCCTTTGCTGTTCTCCCGACAACAGTCAGAGTAAATCATCATATTTCCTCCCTGAGGTAGAACCCTCCATGGCTCCCACATACTCAGTAGAAACCAATTTCTACCTGCACAACCTCTACCATGTCACTTCCCTCATGTATCCCACCATTGTTCAGTGCACACTGGCCCCCTCCCTCAGACTCACCGGGCACTCCCCTACCTTGGCACTCAGTCTGGAGTGCCTGTCCTGGGCCACTATTGGGGCCTGTCCCATGGCTCTTTTTTTTTGTTTTGATTGATTGATTGATTTTACTTACTTATACATAAAAGAGCTGGGGTGTAGGCCAGAGGTTGGGGAGTGAGGGAGGTGAGAGATTCACCAGAGACAGAGCGGGAAGCAGAACAGTCAGGTCTAATGAAATACACCATCAATGGGAGCAGCGGGCGAGACAGGTAAGGTCTGCTGTGCCATGTGAGTTAGCTCCCTGGCCAGGGATTGAACTCAGGCCACTGTGGCTAGTGATAACTTAATAGAACTGAGATTCTAATCCTGTGCCACCAGGGAGGCCTCCCCCTGGCTCTTCCCTCTCCTTCAGCTTTCCCTACCTGCCCTCTCCTGCACCACCCCCCTTTTCCATATCTATATTCCCTCATACCACTCTGCTATTCCCACAGCTCTTTCTTAGTTCATGCTGTAACATAATATACAGTTGACCCTTGAACAACACAACACAGGGTTTGCTGTTTCACCACACAATCAAAACCTGAGTATAACTTAACCACTGGCCCTCCCTGGTGGTGCAGCAGGTTAAAGTGCAGCACTGCAAGTCAGCCTCAGCCCCTTCAGTGCAAGTTCGATCCCCGCCCTGGAGGTGATCCACATGGCGAGCCAGACCTCTCCTGACCCACCTGCTGCTGCCCTCAGCAGTATACTTCGTCAGTCTGCCTGTTCTGCTCCCCACTCTGTCTCTAGTAAATCATCTCACCATCCCTGTACCTCTGGCCCGCACCCCAGTTCTGTACACATAAATAAATAAATCTTTAAAAAAAAAGCTAAAAATTTAAGTACTAGCAGCCTGCTGTTGACCAGGAGCCTTATGAAAAACATGAACAATCAGTGAACATGTTTTGTGTGTTCTCATATGATAGATTGTTATTATAGTAAAGTAAGTAAAGAAAATGTTATTTACAGCACTGATCAATGCCATAAGTTTAAATGTCTATATAAAAGAAAATTCATGTATACGTGGACCCAGGAAGTTCAAACCATGTTTTTCAAGGTCATGTGTACTTGTTTCTGATTCGTCCATTGTTTGTCTGTCTTGTACCCTTGTCAGCTTACCAGAAGCAGATATTTTCGTCCATTCGTTCTCTGTCTATCCCAACACAAGAACAGAGTGGGCACTAGACATTTGTTTTAAATAAATGACATAATCCTAAAACATAGTATTCCTGCAGCACATGGAGGTGGGCAGACCCCACCTTGCAAACCTTCTGCCCCATGGCCCCATCCCTACTTCTCCAGGCTGCAGGCCAACTTCACCATCCGCGATGATGCCAACCCCAGCTCCCGCCAGCGAGGACTCAAGCGCTTCCAGGCCAACCCTGAAGCCAACTGGGGCCCAAGGCCCCGGGCCCGACCAGGGTGAGTGGCAGTACAATGGGAGGGAGATGCATACAAAACTTAGACAGGGCCTCAGCCACTTATCTCTTGCTCAGGGGCAAAGCGGCAGACAAAGCTATGGAGGAGAGAAGAAGGCTGCTCCAGAACAAACGGAAGGAGCCAGGGGAGGACCCAGTGCAACGGGCTGCTCGCCTCAAAACATTTCCCTGCAAGAGGTTCAAGGAGGTGAGCCCCCCCCCC